TCAGGCTGGTGACAAAGGCAAAGCGCAGTGCAGGTAAGTGTGGTGAAAACAAGGTGTTAATCTGGATACTGTCTGAACAGGAACGTCTTTAAACCTTTCGTGGAAGGAGTAAAGCCACGGGGACGTCTGGAGTGAAGGAGAAACTCGACACACCAGATGACATTCCTAAAATCACTGATATCGTTGACAGTTTCCCCACCGATCTGGACCTGATCTCTTATCAGTAATATGGTCAGGGCAGCAGTATTTTAAAGCTGAATGAATGGCACATGATCTCTCTCTCTCTTTCTTTCCTCAGGTGTCCTCTGTGAGGATGCAGGGTCTGCTTCTGCTGTTCTTTTCTAAGTTAGAGCACGTCCCCTTTATCAGAGACATCCGGACCACATACACCCGCACTGGGATCTATGGATACTGGGTAAGTGTGTATTGGTAAACATATTGCACAGTATTTCTCACTATATCCCAGGATATTTCTGTTCTCTAAGGGTTCAAAGAAGCCCTCTTCCAATTCCAAAACCTGTATTTTATGTTTTCCCATGGACACTATTACCTGCCTTCTGGGAATCATATTTTGCTCATATTTGGCCACAATATTGGTTAATGCTTGAAGGGATTGGATGCATCGATCTGGTACAGAGTATCTGTATTGAACAGATTTTTAGCATGGATTGGTTATCAGATTGCATTTGTGAGCTGATCCATTGATTTTTTTTTTTTTTTTTTAATTCATGCCATGATACTTTGTGATTTGTGATACTGCCTGAATTTTCAAATTAGTATGCTCAGTTAGGACCATTACTTCTAGCTCAAGCTCATCATTGACTTGAATGAAAGAAAATAAGGACCGATGGGGTGTCCGTACACACAGCTTCCACCATTATTAAAGTGAAAAATCAGTTGATTCTCAGAGATCTAATATCAGACTGTGTTTGCTTAGGAATTTCCCATAAACTAAACATAATGATGCTCATTTTATGAATTTAACTGTCACTATCTTTTTCCTGCTCAGGGTAATAAAGGAGGGGTGAGCATCCGTCTCTCTTTCTATGGTCATTCGCTCTGCTTCCTCAACTGTCACCTGGCAGCCCACATCCATTACGCCTCTGAAAGAGTGGAGGAATTTGAGCACATCCTCAACTCCCAGACCTTTGACGGCAAAAACACTCCATCCGTTTTAGACCACAAGTGAGTGCACAGTAATGTGCAGTGACTATGATGCAAAGTATATTCTGTATATAACAGGGCCTGTTCAAAAAGAGAAATCACTGATACCGATATGCCCAGCTGTGATATGTGAGGAGTAAAACACTTGGGGTTGTGCTCTTTTAGGAAAATAATCAACCAGTGAGGTGGTGTTGCAGCAGAGTTGCTGTTACCACCTAGAAGTTGATTATTTATCCAGTAACAGCATGTACTGAAGTGTTTTATTCCTCATACCACACCAATTACAACCTTCAATTATTCAAGCAATTCAAGCAGTTATTAATTAAAGAATGACATTATACTTTTTATCCATTTGTAGTTACGTTTAATGTTGTGAAATGCCCACAGAACAAGTCACTTACATTATAGCAGCTCTCTCTCTCTCTCTCTAGAAGGTGATAAGACAAAAAAAAAAAAAAAAAAAAAAAAAAAAAAGCTTATCATGTTACCAAGAAACCACAAAACACAAACTGCTCTGTCCTGAAGACTTACTGACTGTTACAAAGTGCTGACACTGGAGACTCCTTCCATAAATGTTAAATAAATGTCTCTTTACACAAAATCTCACCGTATCAATGATTATATAGTTTTCTTTCAACATTTTAATCTGTTCTATTATTCACCTGGACACGATAACATATTACAAGTGCATTAATGTAACACACGCAGCTGGAACAATTATAAGAGCTGCTGTTACGGAAAATTAATCAACACCTTCTGACCAATCAGATTGGAGAATTCAACAGCCCTGTAGAATAACTGATAATGTCAGCAGATATAATGTTATATGGTCAAAAATTAAGCAGACACCAGTAGTTTTAGTTTAGCTTTACTGCTATGATTCTCAATTTCTCAAATAAACAGCAAAAACAGCAGCATGCACATTAATCGCTAACTTGAACGAGCAGCGTGGGAGAGGTTTGTAGAGTTTTCACACTACAGTTATTAACTGGCCGTATGCATCCCTGACAATGCACCCATGCGAAAGTTAATACGAGGTCTGAACTGGATTCAATTAAATGATTAGCGCCCCCCCAAGCACCATACCCTGTTGTCATGAAGTTGCTAATAATGCTGCTCTGTCCGTAGGCTCCTCTTCTGGTTTGGAGACTTGAATTTTCGTATTCAAGACCATGGGATGCACTTCATTCGCAACTGCATCAACAGCAAGAATTTCAACCTGCTGTGGTCTAAAGACCAGGTAGATACCGAGGCATGGTTCTGTTCCCGAAGAAACGGACACGTGCGACACATTTAGCGTTTTGACTTGCCTTGTAATCCTCCTTTTGTCTCTTCAGCTGACTATGATGAAGAAGAAGATTCCCAGACTGCAGCAGTTTGAAGAAGGACCTCTTGATTTTCAGCCTACCTACAAATTCGACTTGAACTCTGATAAATATGACTCGAGGTGGGTGTAACGTGAGCGCCTCTGTAGCCTGTTACAGCAGTATCACATTACAGTTACTCAGGTTTGTCCTCTCTTATGCTCACAGGCTACAGACGGCTTGGTTTGGTCTTACGTAAGAGTTACATTTTTAAATAAACTCCCTCACAGGCAACCCTCTCCACTAACACTCTTTTCTGAAGTCCACTTTCACTCTGACTGATGGACACAGTGCCGGTGGCGGAGCCAGGGATTTTTCATAGGGGTGGCCAGGCAGGGGCAGTTACTCTGGGGTGGCACAGAAAATATCATTATCTAAACAAACATGGCATTACCATGTTTTAAAAAAATGTATTTAGGTTAAATATTTCTATAATTTCTGTTATATATAAAATCAATCTTGATCTTAGCATTTACACTGTAATGTTTGAATTGTGTTAAACATTTGTTATGATAAAAACATAACTTAATGAATTTCCCAAAACTCATAGATAACGTGACAATTAGTTCTAAGCGTCTAAGTCAGCTAACGTAAAGCTAACTGCTTCCTGACTTCTGTTCACACAGGACATTGATAAAACTGCGCTGAATTGACACTTTCACAATCTTTAAACGAATCAAATAATCATTTTTCTGATTTTATAACTCACCTGATAGGATGTGTTGTGCTCAAACACTCGAAGTTGATCCAGGAACCGAGGCTGCGCTGTAACTTGCTCCTCATCTCCGACTTTTTACGAAAGGTGGAAAACCGCACTATTTTTGGAAATTTCGCGGTCCAAACATTATCGTAGACATGATCGAGGTTCTCCTAGATCAGTATTTGAGAAGTTATTTTAAAAATGTCTTTTAAAAATGCAATTACGAGCGGGGTGGCCAGTGGGGTGGCCGTGATCATGTCCATGGTGGCCGCGGCCACCCCCTGGCCACCCCCTGGCCACCCCCTGGCTCCGCCCCTGCACAGTGCACTGTTCCATTTGGTCAGAGCTGAAAGTCTTCTCATACTAAACTAGCTACATTAGTATATAATACACCATGTTACAAAGCGTCATGTGATCTCTCCCTTACTGTAACATTACTGTGCTAACACTCATTGTGCGTTATGTGATTAATGGGTGCATAAGACGATTATACTAATACTTACAATAATAGTGTGAAATTGTAATATGAAAAGTATAAATTATATAAGTAGGTATAACCTGAATAAAAGAGGTGAAGTATAAAGTATGAAAGGGAATGGTGTTAATAACATACTGTAACGACTTGCCTGATGTTAAATTATAAATCTGGGTGTTAAACTGGTGAGGATTAATTCATTAATTAAGCAATCAAGTACGTAAGTAAGTAATAAAATGTGTATTTACATACTTTGTTAATTTCTTTTTTTTATTCCTTTTTAAAAATATTTATACTGTATATCTGTTTTTAAAATATTATTTATTTTTTTTTTTTTTTTTTTTTTTTTAAATTTTTTTTTTTTTTTTTTTTTTTTTTTTTTTTTTTTTTTTTGTCCCTTTTTAAATGTATTTTATTTATTTATTTTTAACTTATTTTATTCCCGTTCTAGGAAGGTAATATCTTGACTGATATAATATCTTGATATTAAATTATATATTATTTTGACATTATATTATATATTATATATTATATATTATATGGTATATTATAAAGGTAATATCTGGACTTGACAAATATTAGATGCATTACATCAAAAATGCCACTTCACCTCTTTTCTTGTGTTTTATCCTCAATGATCACTTAATAATCATGCATTATATTAGTAGCACTCGTGTGTGTGTGTGTGTGTGTGTGTGTGTGTGTGTGTAATTAACTGTGCATACACACTACATGCTAGTCTGTAGCCTTTTTAATCGTCTGTGTGTGTTTCTTTAATCCATTACAATTCAGTGCTTTTCATGTAATGATACAACTAAATAACTAAAGGTAAGACCGGTATCATGAAAACAGCAAGGGGATATACAGTGCATGACCTGTATGACCTTGGCACTCTAGGCTTTGGTGTCATGTGGACTAAAATATAACGTGGTAGTACAATGCTGGCATTTTGATGTGGTTGAGTGTGTACGTTGATGCAGCAGAGTAATAGACGGTGTGATTTTGAAAATCAGTGGAATTTTAAACTACTTCAGTCTAAAATTGCTCTAATTGTACTTCAGTCAAGATCCCCTCTACGCACAGACGCAAGGAACTGGATAAAATTTCAAGATGTAAAAGCAGAGATGACGTATTTGTCAACATAGAAACTAGGAATTACCCGATATAATTGCTATGTTAGACTGTTGTTGTTGTTCCTTTTTCGGCTGCTCCCGTTAGGGGTGGCCACAGCGGATCATTGGTCCTCGTATTTGATTTGGCACAGTTTTAACGCCGGATGCGCTTCCTGAAGCAAACGCTCCCTGGCCGGGAATCGAACCAAAGGCCACAGCGGTGAGAGCGCTGAGGTCTAACCACTAATCCTCCAGGGACCCCATAATTGCTATGTTAGACTAAACACCCATGAAAACGTACAAGAAAACACAAATCACATTTGTTATTAGTGATATTTGATTAGTGGTTATTAAGCCTGATATTTCCAGTAAAATTAAATTGCATGTACTGTATGTGTGCTGAGTCACTAGTGTAAACCTGGTTTTAAAGGGAATGATCTGAGCCAATTTGATCGGATATCACAACAGGTGCGCCTCTAGATAACGCATTCACCCAAAATGCAGAGATTGTTTAAAAAAACGTGGCCCTATACGGCTTTTTAGGAAAGAGTAGAGTGATGTAAACAGTCAGTAAGATCAGCAGCAGCTCTTCACAGCTCACAGTCTTCTCTTCTCGATACTCATGTGACTGACCAGCGCGAAAAAGCGGAAACCTGCATGGTGTGATCGGATCCTGTGGCGGATGAACCCCAAACCTCCACCCGAGAATGCAGATAAAGAGCATGATGATGATGGTGATGAAGAGCAGAAGCGGAAACAGCTTGAGGAGCCGTTGGATGAATTTCCTCTCAGTTTAGTGCAGGACACTTACACCAGCAACATGGAGTACAGCATCAGTGACCATAAACCCGTCATCGGCATCTTCAGACTGGAGGTAATGCTCACCTTGCCTTTTCCTATTGCTCTACGTCTTTATATAATGATCTGTGATGCTGTTTAGAAGTATTGGCACCCTTCAGGAAAATGCACCAATATTACACATGCAGGGAGTGAGATTTTGAACTCAAACATACAAGGACATTGTGTATAGTTTTACTGAAACTTCGTTTTACTTTTTTAAAAAAAAATTTTTATCATCACTCTTACAATTAATATTTTGTCTTTTGCATGGTAATGGGCTTAAATATAGCTACATACTCAGAGAAAATGTTTGTATTGTGAAAGTCTACAAGGAGTAGGTTTTCTTTTTTTTCTTTCCTTTTTCTGGTCATTGAACCTACATGTCTCCTGGGAAAACTTTAATAATAACTAATAGCCTGAAAAGCCAAATTCAGTTTTTTTGTTGAAAGTTATTTGTTTTTTCCTATCGTAATGAACGAAGAAGGGATTTTACATGTGTGCAACCTCATATTTATACCCCAGGGAAACAAGACATGATTTAAGGCAACAACTGAGAGTAAAAGAAAAACAATAATAATGTTTTTTGCTGAATTCCAATTTGCATTTTATTTTACAATATTTTATAGATGCCAATCATTTTGAGGAAAAAAGTCATCATCTAAAAATATACTTGTAATGTGATATATGTTAGTACAAAGATAAATAGTTAATTATTGTGTGTAATATCTATTTTATACCATCATTTTTATGAAGTGTGCCAGTATATAATGATGTGTATATGTTTTTTAACCCTACAGCTGAGGAAGGTATACGAGACTCCACTGGTGCATGTGTGTGCTGAGGGTGAATGGAGTGCAGACCTGGACGCTGTGGTGGCCTACAGCCCTCTGGAGCAGTTTCCATCCAGCGCCTGGGACTGGATTGGCCTTTATAAGGTCAGGATCTGTATCTGCACTCGACAACTTGTGTTTGGAAGAGTGACGGATGATCTCTCTCTCTCTCTCTCTCTCTCTCTTAGCTGCAGTGTTCCTTACACTGAGAGTTAGCGTGGAGAAATTTGGTGAAACACTGAAAGAGAGGTTTGAGCCAACATACTCAGTTGCTCAGGAAGAAGAGATCTGTTTGATTAATTTTGTAAGAGGAGACGAAAGGCAGCGGGAGATATCGATACTGATACTGAAATCAATACCCATCTGATATTGCTTTTATAAAAAAAAAAAAAGCTACTAAGCTTTACAATGAATGCTTGCTTATTTATTTATTTATTTATACATACATACTGTAGCACTTTACAGTTAAACTCTTCCACACAAAAATCACTTACACTGTAAATATAATAGCATGGTATAAAATATAAATATAATAAAAATCAATCCTAACAATAGAAAACCAAAAGAAAAAATCTTTTGGAAATTGATTTCTTTTCCAAAATCAATTCCCATCTTTTGGAATTTGTTACAGGATCGCTTATCCGATATCTCTGAATCGTATAAACCTCAGTGCTGATGCTGGGTATCAGATCGGTGCCATCTCTACTAAAAACCCTGCTAAAGATGAGACTGAGTACTGAATTTGTGAATTTTAAAATGATACACAGACTGCACGACTTCTCTGAGGTTTGGGCACAGGGTGGGGTTTTATACGTGCTTGAAAATCAATTGTTAATTTTACTGTTTGAACAAAAGCACTCGTTCTGTGTTTTTAAAAGGAAGAGTCATTCTCTCTCTCTCTCTCTCTCTCTCTCTCTCTCTCTCTCTCTCTCTCTGTCTTTTTTCAGGTTGGATTCCAGAGCATTTCTGACTACATCACCTATACCTGGGTAAAAGATGACCAGGTGGCACTCAGTAATGAGCTCATCCAGGTAACATGGTGCAAATCTGCCACAAGCGATCAATACTTATACAGAGAAGATGAATTTATAATGAATTTATTTTTTTTTGTTTTGTTTTTTTTTGTTTTGTTTTTGTTGTTTACAGGTTTATGTGAGCAAGGAGGAGATCCCAGTTCTAGGTGGGGAATGTGTACTGTGCTACTACAGTAGTAACCTGCAGTGCATTGTGGGTATTAGTGAACCCTTCAGAGTGAGTACATAAGCACTTGTAAATACTTCTATATGAAAAGTAATCTTCGTAGTACTTTAAATAGTTACTTTTAACCCTGATTATAAAGATTATCCTGCTAGTATTGGGTTAAACTCTGCATTTTATCTTGTAGGTTCACGAGTCACGAGCAGCGATTGAAGAGGGCTTCTTACTTGAGAATGTTAACAAACTTGACCAGGCTTTGGCCAGTTAGGACCACATGAAGGAGCCATTCTGAAGCTGATCAGTGTTGGATGCTCTTTCTGCTTCGTATAAAAAAAACCTGAAGAATTTAATAAGCAAGTGCAATTTTATCCGAGCATAAAACCTTTTTTTTTTTAAAATTGATACTAAGGTCCTTTCTTCTTTGCCTTTTTTCTGTGTCTTAACTTTTCCTGTGCTGCCTTTTTCCCAGTGATATTTGTTGGCCCTATAATTATTTTAACTATAAGCCTATAAAAATTTCTATGAACCTTGTACACAGAGTCTAAATGAAAACTTTAATTTAGAACAATTTTGAAGGGTACATTTTATTTATATAGCTCTATAGTCATTGTAAGATTTTTAAGGTGTCTTGATATACCGTAATCACTGTCACCAGTGTTATTATTAGTTTGTCACATTTATTTAAAGCTGTTACAAAGGAAGAATGTAATGTAGAAAAATATCATTTTGCACTGATTCCATTGACACAAAATGTGTAGCTTTTACAATGCGTAAGGTTATGGTATGTTATATGTATGTTATATGCTGTTATTGGATGAGAATTATTTTACTTGTATTACTTTTATTTCTGTGTTTATTAGTATGTTTTGTCAAACCAGATGTGTCCACATTATTACAGATGTTTTGTTTATTCATAATGTGTAGGGTTATTTGAATATATGACTACACTGATTTGTTGAGACTTAACTCTATTTATAATTTAGATTGTACAAAAGATATAAATTATAACTCACATTTCTTTATCTGTATAAACTAAGCAGTTTTCTAAATATGTGAGAATGCATAGCAACATGCTGTTTGATGCTTATAAGTGATTTTTATTTTTGGCACAATTTAATTCCTAATTCTATATTAATATATTACTTTTTAAATAGCTGAAAAAAATAAAAACATTATAGGCGCACGTTTGTTTGTCGTAGCCCCGCCCCTATGCCCGTGAGTGACACTGGTTTCCACAGCAACCGCTTTGTTGTCCCGCCCCCATCCGGAGCTGACAGTGATGTTGCTAGGGCAACCGTTTGTTTCTTGGCCGGAGAGTTAAAAGTGGGCTCGGATTAGCGCCTGAATATTTACACAATTAAACTACTTTTACACACTTTAATCATCCAGGTAGGTGAATTTAATCCTAAAAATGTCATATATAATGTTAGTTTTGTGTAGTTAGTCATTTTAACTAACTAAATGTCAATTAATTGCAAGATCTTACTAATGTTTTCAAGCAAGTTAGCCTCAAATAAACTCAAATCAGGAAGGAAGTGTATCCTAATCCTAACCTTAGGATTTGTTGATCTCAGTTTAATGGTGATTACCACCTGAACTTTTCATTAAAAACATGAACCAACGAAATTTACACTGTAATCTGCTTTAAATCAGGTTATCTCTGTAATCCAGTTTGACTGCACTTCAATGTATTTAACAATAATCAGGGTTGCAGGGTTTAAACCATCCTCTGAAACTAAAACCAGGATTAAATATTGTCTTATTGCTAAAAACCTATCATTTTAATTCCATTACTTTCAATTTAAAGTAGGGATTTATTTTAATCATGTAGCTGAGGTGGCTTCAATAAAAAAAAAAAAAGAAAGCATAGTGTATATTAGATGAATTGCTGAAAAGTATCAGTAATTATTGATCACACTAATATCACTGTCACTGTCTACCTTCTTAAACTGGAGAATCCATCCTGATAATTAAAATTAATCCCAGGTCAAGGTTTTAATAAGACATTATTGTATTAATCAGGCATCAAGATATTCAGAATTTAAAATTAAGTGATGCAAAACACCTTGACTTAAAATTAAACCTGAATCAATAAATACTACCAACTGTAAACTGTTTCTTTTAATCCTTTAATCCTTTAAATCCTCTTTTAAACCTTATGAGTTCTTGATTATAGTATGATTATACAAATCGCCACATTATTAACCATGAATCAGCCGAATAATCAGAAAAACTTAAATTATTCTGTAAAAATAGTAAATAAATGACCTTCACTATTTTCAACAGTGTCCAGTGAAGCCCAGTGTCTAGTCAGCAAAAAAAAAAAAAAACAGGTTCCATAGTACAGCTTTATTCCATTAAAAAAATAGAAGAAAGAAAAAAAAAAAGGAA